AGGGCCGATGTGTGACCTGCTCTGGTCCGACCCGCAGCCACAGGTGAGTTCAACCCGTTGGGTGTCCCCAATGTCACCCATGGCTTGGTGGCCCTGGTGTCCCCGTGTCACGATGACCCCATGTCACAATGGCCCCAATGTCCCCCTGTCTTGGTGTCCCCATGTCATGATGTCCCCATGTCTTGGTGGCCCTGGTGTCCTCATGTCATGACGTCCCCATTGCTTGGTGTCACCATGTCATGGTGTCTCCATCTTGTGATGACCCCAATGTCCCCATATCACGATGTCCCCATGTCACGATGCCCCCATGCCCTGGTGGCCCTCGTGTCCCCACGTCTTGGTGTCCCCATGTCACGATGTCCCCATATTTTGGTGTCCCCATATTTTGGTGTCCCCATGGCTTGGTGGCCCCATATCATGGTGACCCCATGGATGTCCCCATATCGTGGTGTCCCCAAGTTGTGGTGACCCCAGTGTCCCCCGTCCTTCCGTCCTCCGTCCTTCTGTCCCCGTATCTCCCACCTCCTCACACCACCCCCCATTTCCCCTCCGTCCTTCTGTCCCCCGTCCTTCTGTCATCCTTCCATCCCCTGTCCTTCTGTCCCTGTTCTTCCATCCTCCATCCTTCTGTCCCTTGTCCTTCTGTCCCAATCCTTCTGTCATCCTTCCATCCTCCATCCTTCTGTCCCCTGTCCTTCCATCCCCGTCCTTCTGTCCCCATCCTTCTGTTTCCTTCCTTCTGTCCATCATCCTTCCATTCCTGTCCTTCTGTCCCCATCTTTCTGTCACCCGTCCTTCTGTCCCCATCCTTCCATCTTCCATCCTTCCGTCCTTCCGTCCCCGTCCCTCTGTTCCTGTCCTTCTGTTCCCCGTCCTTCCGTCCCCGTCCTTCTGTCCCCCATCCTTCCGTCCTTCCATCCCTGTCCTTCTGTCGTTCATCCTTCCATCCCCGTCCTTCCATCTTCCATCCTTGTCTGTCCTCCATCCTCCATCCTCCATCCTCCATCCTCCCATCCTTCCATCCTTCCATCCTCCATCCTCCGTCCTTCCATCCTCCCATCCTCCCATCCTCCCATCCTCCATCCTCCATCCTCCATCCTTCCATCCTTCCATCCTTCCATCCTTCCATCCTCCCATCCTCCATCCTTCCATCCTCCATCCTTCCGTCCTCCATCCTTCCGTCCTCCATCCTCCATCCTCCCATCTTCCATCCTCCCATCTTCCATCCTCCATCCACCATCCTTCCATCCTCCATCCTTCCATCCTTCCATCCTTCCATCCTTCCATCCTCTATTCTCCATCCTCCATCCTTCCATCCTTCCATCCTTCCATCCTCTATTCTCCATCCTCCATCCTTCCATCCTTCCATCCTCTATCCTTCTGTCCGCTGTCCTTCCGTCCCCGTCCTTCCGTCATCCTTCTGTCTGCCGTCCTTCCGTCGTCCTTCTGTCCCTGTCCTTCCATCTTCCATCCTCCTGTCTGTCCCCCATCCTTCCTTCCCCATCCTTCCATCCTCCATCCTCCATCCTTCCATCCCCTTCCTTTGATTCTCCATCCTTCTGTCCGCCATCCTTCCGTCCCCGTCCTTCCGTCCCCGTCATTCTGTCATCCTTCTGTCCGCCGTCCTTCCGCCGTCCTTCTGTCCCTGTCCTTCCATCTTCCATCCTCCTGTCTGTCCCCCATCCTTCCATCCCTATCCTTCCATCCTCCATCCTTCCATCCCCTTCCTTCGATTCTCCCTCCTTCCATCCCCGTCCTTCCGTCGTCCTTCCGTCCCCGTCCTTCCGTCATCCTTCTGTCCGCCGTCCTTCCATCCCCGTCCTTCCGTCGTCCTTCCGTCCGCCGTCCGTCCGTCCGCACATGACGCCGTTCCCCCCTCAGAACGGTCGCTCCGTCAGTAAGAGAGGCGTCAGCTGTCAGTTCGGACCCGACGTCACCCGGAGTTTCCTGGAACGGAACCGCCTGGATTTCATCATCCGCAGCCACGAGGTGAAGCCGGAGGGCTACGAGGTGGCCCACGACGGGAAGTGCGTCACCGTCTTCTCCGCACCCAACTACTGGTGAGCAGCACCGCGGGGCGACCCACGGACGGCCCCACGGACAGCCCCACGGACAGCCCCACGGACAGCCCCACGGACAGCCCCATAGCGTCATGGCCCCATAGCGTCATGGCCCCATAGCATCAATGGATGGCCCCATGGATGGCCCCATAGCATCATGGCCCCATAGCATCATGGCCCTATGGATGGCCCATGGACAGCCCCATGGATGGCCCCATAGTGTCATGGCCCCATGGATGGCCTTATGGATGGCCCCATGGACGGCCCCATGGATGGCCCCATAGCGTCATGGCCCCATGGATGGCCCCATAGCATCATGGCCCCATGTATGGCCCCATGGATGACCCCATGGATGGCCCCATAGCATCATGGCCCCATAGCATCATGGCCCCATGGATGGCCTTATGGATGGCCCCATGGACGGCCCATGGATGGCCCCATAGCGTCATGGCCCCATAGCATCATGGCCCCACGGATGGGCCCATGGCATGGTGGCCCCATGGACAGCCCCATGGATGGCCCCATAGCGTCATGGCCCCATGGATGGCCCCATGGATGGCCCCATGGACAGCCCCATAGTGTCATGGCCCCATAGCATCATGGCCCCATGGACAGCCCCATAGATGGCCCCATAGTGTCATGGCCCCATGGATGGCCCCATAGTGTCATGGCCCCATAGCATCATGGCCCCATGGACGACCCCATGGATGGCCCCATAGCATCATGGCCCCATGGATGGCCCCATAGCATGGTGACCCCATGGATGGCCCCATGGATGGCTCCATAGCATCGTGGCCCCATGGACGGCCCCATGGATGGCCCAACGGAAGGCCCCATAGCGTCATGGCCCCATAGCATCAATGGATGGCCCCATGGACGGCCCCATGGATGACCCCATCGATGACCCCATGGATGGCCCTATGGATGGCCCCATAGCATGGTGGCCCCATGGATGGCCCCATAGCATCATGGCCCCATGGATGGCCCCATAGTGTCATGGCTCCATAGCATCATGGCCCCATAGTGTGGTGTCCCCAGTGATGTCCCCAGTGTCTCGCATGGTGTCCCCAATGTCGTCCCCAATGATGTCCCTAATTGTCCCCAATGATTTCCCCAGTTGTCCCCAATATGTCCCCAATACCCCCAATTGTCCCCAATGCCTCCAATGATGTCCCCAATGTCCCCCCCGATGCCCCTGATGTCCCCAATGTCCCCAATTGTCCCCAATGCTCCCAATTGTCCCCAATGATGTCCCCAATATGTCC